TCAGAAGAAAGATGTACTTACAAACAATCAGCCATTGAAAACCCTATAGAGCAAAGAACATGGACCACCATGAATCTTAATCAATTCCACTGTGGCAACTGGTAGGTAGACAGGTGTCTGCAACAACTGCTCAGACTTCCCTTTGTAGTGGTAAAGCAGGCATAGATAATATGTATATTTGGTTGTGGCTATGTTCTGACTGGATTGTGGTGTTACAGGATAAATACTGGACTGCAATGTTGGTTCGAACCTCAAGTCTGTGGTTCAAACTCACCAGTAACTCCTCGGAAACCCTACACAGGGTTGCTATGAGTTGGAACTGACTTGATGGCACTTGACAACAACAACAACATGTTGTGATAGAACTGTGTTTATAAGAAAAACTGGCCATCCAGATTTGGCTTATGGCTTGCGCTTTACTGCCCATTGTGCTAGATAAACATAGCACAATAAATTTTCAGTAACTAAAAATATTCAATGAAGAAAAATTTGCCTCACTTTAGGACAAATCATTGAAGATACCTCTGTCAATTTTTTATGTATTCATCTAGACATCTCCCATTTGTATATGTGGGAGATGTATGTATGTATATAGAAAGGTTTATTTACATATCTGTAAGTCATTGTAAACACCCATGGGTGTACTTTATATGGGTAATATGCCTTGGAGACAGACCTCCCTTATTCTTCTACTGCCTACACAAACCTTCACTATATGGATGAACCAGAATTTACTTAAGAATCATCCCCTTGAAAATGGATTTAACTTATATTTAAATTATTGGACCATGATGCAATGTATATCTTGGAACACATGTAAAAACACATGTGTTGAATAAATTTCTGGAATAGAAACTCTTGGATAAAATACCATGTGTGTTTTAAGTTTTGATCTGTATTACCAAATTGCTCTCCATAGAAGACTTACAATTTATATTCTTATCAACAATATATGGAAGAAGAAAAGCATGCTATTTGAGGTGCATGTATCTGTGTCAGATGAAGGGGTAGTTTTATATGGAGTATAAATAATCTATAGGAAAATCTCTGAAAAGCTATATTAAATATAAAGCAACTATAAATGTTTCACTCATCTCTTAAATTTTGTAGCAAAGATTTTAAAGCTGTACAAAAAAATTCCATTAAAAATAAATATCCTTTTTATTTAAGGATATGATATAGAGAGATAGTTCTGGTGTGGTGCTGTGGGTTAATGTGTTAGAACACAAGTCAGTTTGAATAGCAAGGCTGGCAGTCCAAGCTCACCAGCCACTACTTGGAAACCCTATACAGGGTCGCTATGGGTTGGAATGACTTGATGGCATTTAATATAAACTATAAATATAAATATAAAGATGTCTATCCAAAAAAAGCTGCTCCTCGGAAACCCTATACAGGGTCGCAACCAATTCGACGGCACTTCACAACAACAACAACATCCAAAAAAAAAGGACATGGAATGAGGGATAATATTGCTGATGTCCGATGGATCTTGGCTCAAAGTAGAGAATACCAGAAAGATTGTTTACCTGTGCTTTATTGACTGTGCAAAGGCTTTCGATTGTGTGGACCATGACAAGCTATGGGCAACATTGCAAAGTATGAGTATTTTGGAACACTTAATTGTGCTCATCAGGAACCTGTACACGGACTAAGAGGTAGTGTTCGAACAGAACGTGGGAACACTGAATAGTTTAAAATTAAGAAAGTTGTGCAACAGGGTTGTATTCTTTTACCATGCTTATTCAGCCTGTATGCTGAGCAAATAATCTTAGAAGATGAGATGTATGAAGAAAAACGTGGCATCAGGATTGGAGGAAGACTTATTAATAACTTGCAACATGCAGATGATGCAACCTTGTTTGCTGAAAATGAAGAGGATGTAAAATACTTACTGATGAAGACAGAAGACCATAGCTATCAGTATGCAAAGAAAACAAAAATCCTCACCACTGGACCAGTAAACAACATTCTTATCAGCAGAGAAAAAAATTGAAGTTGTCAAGCACTTTGTTCTTCTTCGATCAACTATCAACATTCATGGAAGCAGCAGTCAAGAAATCAAATGATATATTGTATTAGGTGGATCTGCTGCACAGACCTTTTTAAAGTGTCGAAGAGGAAAGATGTCAGCTTGAGGACTAAGGTGTGCCTGACCCAAGCCATGGTATTTTCAATAACCTCACATGCATTCGAAAGTTGGACAGTGAATAAGGAAGACCATAGAAGAATTGATACATTTGAGTTATGGTGTTGGAGGAGAATTCAGTGCTTTGTTCCGCAGGAGAAAGATGAGGCTTTCTGCTCTCATAAAGATTTACACCTTTGGAAACCCTGTACAGGGTTGCTATGAGTTGGAACCTACTCCATGGCACATAACCACCACCACCATGGACTGCCAAAAGAACCAACAGATCTGTGTTGGAAGAAGTGCAGCCAGAGTGCTCCTTGGCTATCCAGGATAGCCAAACTTCGTCTCTCATCCTTCGGACATGTTGTCAGGAGGAGAATATCATGTTTGGTAGGGTGAATATCACTGGAGAAGAATATCATGTTTGGTAGGGTGGAGGGTCAGAGAAAAAGAGGAAGACCCCAGTGAGATCGATTGGCCAAGTGGCCAATTTCATGTCATCTAACAGCAACAACATCCAAATAAAAAGAATGACTGTGAAATGCGGTCCTTCCGTTTGTTCTTTTAAAAAACACGTGTATTTTATGCTGCAGAACTGCCCTGAACATTTCAAGTTAAATGACCAGGAATTTGAGGTTTGTATGCTTTTAAGTACATTACCAGAAAGTTCTTCATTTCTCCACTTTCTCCACACTTACAAATGAGGTCAAAGCATAAGATCTTATGGGAATTTCTTTTAGAATGGACTTTTTGGTCTCAAAGCTGAGGGGAACACAGAGTAAGTGTTCATCAATTTATTTAATGAAACAGAATGAAGAAAGTATTGCAGGAGTGCAGAAAAGGGAGCGATGAATTCTTTTTGAAGGGATAAGGACAGTTTGTTTGACTAAGGGATGATAGTACTTAAAGAAGATTACGATTTTTTTCTGGGTAGAGAATATAGAACTGAAAGGGTGACGGCATATGTAGATTCCAACAAGTGAAATTGAACGCTGTCACAGTGCTTCAGGTTTTTGCTTCCGGATTTATTCTGGTAGCGTAGCGGTTACGAATCGGGCTGCGAACCTTAAGGTCAGCGGTTCGAAACTACCAGCTGCTCCGCGGGAGAAAGATGAGGCTTTCTACTCCCGTAAAGATTTACA